CCCGTACCAGCACAGAGTGTATCTGTGCTCTCAGTGTAGGTACTAAGTGTCACAAAAGTACCTACAGACAAAAAAGACACAAAAAGGTGGAATTAGGGTCAAAATGAAAAGTTCCAGTAAAAGAGGAAACAAAAAGCATTGAAATATTTTGCTAGCTTTTTCTTATTGAGCCTGATAACAGCAGCTTTTTCATATTGAATGTTGCCATCTTATCTAACTCATCCCATTATTCTCAGTATTAGAATTAAAGTGTTTTACACCTTCAGTAGGCTCAATTAAAGTCAGACAATTACACCTCTGACGGCAGGGAATAGAAAGTTCTATAGGTAGAAAATAGAAAACAAGAAGGAAAGTCTCCATCGTGACCATCCTGTAGTAACTGACAGATTCCAGCAAAATACGCAGATTAAAAGGGACGGGCTTTTCAGCCCTTTTAGAGCACATAATCTAAAACTCACCTGGCATCCTTTCCTGGCTTAGTTTCTTATTGCCCTGCTCTAGCTCACAGTAGAACTCGGATAAAAGAAATACAAAGCAGAATTTTTCCTCAGTTCCCCAGACTAATCACAGTGAAGTAAAAATGTGTGGTGGCATAATRCATATAAGTAATCAGGCATAATATTTTTGTGCATATAGACAACAATATATTTGGACTATATAAATAATGAAAACCTGGCATAGAATTTTTTATCAGAGTTTATTTCTAGAGTATTTATAGAGTTTTGATGGAAACACTAAAAAAGTGTGTAATTAAAACCAATTAACATTGCTTTTACAAGAATGAATCTTTTGGGCTTTATTCTTTGTTTAGAATATATATCTTSTTGAAAGAATTCAAGAATTTAACTCCACACATATGCTAAGTTCTTCAGTGCAATCTGTCATTGTTATCAGTGACCTTGGAACAATAGGAAATTATCCCTGATAAAATGCAGATAAAATAAACACTGCGGAGAGTTAGATGAGGACAGGCAATCATGCAGAGGGAGCACAATCATTTGTAACCTCAGCTTATTCAAACAAGGTGTGTCTTTACTCAAAGCAAATATTCATTAGAAATAAAAGTATAGAAGCTGAAGCCTTAGAAAAGGCTAAGATGCAGATTTTAACGGGAAGGAAACTCAGTAAAACAAACTCTGTAATGATAGATTCTCATCTTTTCCAGAATAAGTAGCATAACTTTTCAGAAGAAAAGTTTCAGTCAAAATTATGCATTGGTTGATCTTTAGCTTTTGGGCTCAATGTGTGTGTTAAATGCGATGTCTYGTAAAATGCCGGGCATTGGAAGACACATAAAAAAGTCATCTAGTCCATCCATACACGCTGGGTAAGAACAGCTATTCTATGCCTATTTCTGCCACAAGTTTGTATAATTTGTTCAAAATGGATCTCAAGGGAAATGCTGCTTCCTAACACATATTACTAGCCTTTAACCACATTAGATTTTCCTTTTTTTACCATGGATATGAAAAAAAATGCATGTACATACCCCTTTCTTTATCGCCGGAAACATTGAAGTGTTTATTTTGTTCTATCTCGGTCTTTTCATATTTGCCTAAACAAGCAGAATTTGTTCAATATCTCCAGAATATTGCATAAAGATTTCTAGGCCCCTGATCAGTCTCACTCTTCTTTGGACTGTCTCCAGCTGACACACATTATCTGTAGATGTCTCAGTATTAAGTTAAAGTGTTATTTCACATGAATTTTGGGTTATACTTTTGACTAAAATTATACCTTTGGCTTTAAAATCTGTGGCAGGATGCAATTTAATCTTGGCATATCTTAAATTGTAAGAGTCTGATTTTGGAAAATGAACATTCCTCAACAAAAATACCTATGAATGCACCTGTGTAATCTGCAAGGTTGGGATTTTAGTACTAGGTTGTTTGAGTAATGAAGTAAATTACTAGGTTTAAAATTATCTATTATTAAATAGATATTTTTCTATTATTAAATATATTATTATCTATTATTAAATAGATAATTTTCTCTATTTTAAAATTTAGTCTATTTTATCTATTTTATCTGAAATTTTTATCTTATTATTTCATCTAAAATTTTATCTATTTAAAATTTATCTACTTTAAAATTATCTGTGTATGTCGACAAGTTGCTCCAGGGAGCCGTGAAATCCAATTTATCCCCAGACTTCACATCCCTTTGTTAGGAAGCGGAAAAATGTCAAGACYTGAGAATTTTGGTTTGATTGCCATGTGACAGGTGGAAATGCATTCCAACAGCTATGGATTTCTACACATCAGCCAGACTGCTCTTGTCTTTTATGCTGCCTCAATACCGGCACARGGAGCATAGAGAGCACCTGAAAGAAACTGGGAAACTTTCACTAGGAAACTTTCAATAACTGGGAAACTGGGAAACTTTCAATAACTGGATGCCTTCTTTTTTAGCAGCCTGAGGTATTGTATGAGTGTGTTGTATGACACTCCTATTATAGAAAAGTTAAAAACAAGAGCCAGGATGTTCAAAGAGTGGGGCACGTTGCCCAGAGATGCTATRGTATCACTGGAAATAATGAGAACTTGATGGAACATGGCCCTGAGAAACTTCTTTGAGAATTGCTAATACATAGAAACCAAATCTAGCTTAGGAGACTCCCAAAATCATGGCAGATAGAGACATGGAACATATTAGGAGAAAGTACCAGGCATCAACTCCTGGCCACTCTTGGAGACAGACTATACCATCAATTCAGTAATTCATATGTTTTTAAGTTTGTTCTTGTGTTCTTTACATTAAAATAAATAAGTAAATAACCTGGCCTAATACAGGAACATCTCTCCCACATCCATGTCCATTACATAATTGAGTATACGAGCATAAGAATGATGCTTCTCACCCTGTACTGTGCCTCCAACAACGATCTGAAGTGGATGCCTAGAGAATGTTGCAAGAAGAGGGTGAGCAGGTAGTGATACTTCCTCACTGTCTTCTCCCAGGCACCAAAAAATTGCCTCTGGGCAACTGCTTGGGCCAAAGATGTCATGTATAATAACTGCCAGTTGTTTTTCTAATGGGAATTTTTCTAGTCTGTTTTTAAATCTGATTTTCAGAACCTCCTGCTGCAAAGGGCTCTATAGATTACTTACATATTCTATGAAGAGTCACCACCTTCTTCTCTCAAATCTACACTTATTTGATTCTCCCCAACTCTGGTAGCAGGAAAAGATGATGAATAGTAATTTCTCTTMATTCTCAGAATTTTATTTATTTTTATAGTCTCTCCCCTGCGTTGTCTTATCAGACTATACTGTCCAAATTACTTCAAATTCTATGATAGAAGGCATTCTCTGTTTTTGAATATCCTTGTTTTCTATATTTTTTCCCAGCATTTCAATTTTTTTGAGATGAAATAACCAGAATTCAGGACTTTACAGTATTCAAGGCAGTGCTACATTTTTGTACAGTGGCATAATCATGTGCCCTGCTTTGTCATCTTTCCTATGAGGCCACTCTGCTAGCACATGACAAAGTTTCTCAGAAGGAATTTACCAATGTTGTCTATAAAAAATCCCAGTGAAAATTTTGTTGCTCTTGGCTACTACATTACACAATATTGACTGATCATTTCTTTGATTTTTACATTGCTAGCTATAATTAATCTCTTGACATATTTTAGATAGTCCTCTTCTCATGGAGAAATGGGGCAAAGACCATTTGGTTTGTCCTGTGTTTGTTTAGAGTCTGGCAGAATGGGCTTCTGGCACCTCATTGCATTTCTTGTTTGCTAGACATTAAATTAAAAACAATGTCCTTCTCTCAAAAGGGACAGGTGTTGAAATTCCTAAAATTTTTGTACATGCATCATGGACAAATTGAAGTTTCTTCATTGCTTTGAAAAGTTATGAAAATACAATTTGTAGTGGATTTTGTTCCATGGGATTTCGGACTCCCAAACAACTAAAGAAAGCTCTTGCAGTGGTTTTACAAACTTTGTCAGAATATTATAAGCTCTACTAAATATTTTTTGTTCTTCTGTGTTTAAGCCACTTCTATTTGTTGAGGTTTAATTTTTCTTGACAAGATTSTAATCTTCATTATACATATGCGAACTTGTAGAAAGTCTACAGAAGACCACAAGATTTTTTTTAAGACTGTTTTTGGTTTAACTGATCTGTGAGTTTGCTTCTCTCTTTTCTCCTCTACTCCTTTCCCTTCTCTTCCTTAGATTTTGTTGGACTTTCTGTAGAACAGCTAGGGCTGTTCTCTCCAGGTTGCTTTAAACCCATTAGCGATACTTAAAAGAGGGTTCTAGGTTCAACATCCAAGCACTCATTTCACTTGCTTGTGTGTGAAGGCAGCCTCTGCATGCGAACTCCCAGGGAAGCAGACCATGAGCGTTGCTGTGGTTTTCCCAGGTTTTTACCCCAGTGCAGAACACGTGCACAGCAGCCCACACGTGTAATTACAGCTTCTGGGTGTCTGGTGCTCAACTTGCTTTTAAGACTGCACCTGTTTGTTGAGAGCGTAGCTTCCCAACAGCCACTTTCCCAGTACAGGCTTGCCAGTGTGGAAAATTGAGTCCAGTCTTTCACAGGTTAAATGACAAAAATATTTGACAATATACAGAAGGCCACGTACAGCTCTTAATCGATGCCAAATATCTTTTTCTCTCTCGTACCTTCCTCTGTCTCTGAATAAGAAAAACTCCAGCAAGGCTGCTTCTGGGCTCATGTGTACAGCTGCTGTTTTTTACAGCACGAGAGTTTATACCTGGACAAACTGATGTTTTTGTGTCCTTTTCATTTTCATTGATGTTTTTGTGTCTTGCTTCTGGCAAGACAATTTCAAGGCCTGCTATAACTAGTAAGTTCTTCGAGGCAGCAGCTCTTGATGTTGCCAAGTTAAGGTGTAAATATATCTAAGCAGTAGATTCAACAGTGTGCATTTGCTCTGGAGACTACTCAGGTAAACAGGGAAATTTTATCATTGTCCTTGAGTGGTCTACTTGATAAATTAATCTGTTTTGTTGTTTTCAGGCCCAAGAAAAGAAGGTTTCAAACAGCAAGTGCCTTCCTCGGCAGCGCTGTCGCCTCCGGTGCCTCCCCTGCACCCTGCCACACAGCTGCCGCCTCTTCCACCAGCCTCCCACCCATCGCTGCAGGCCCCTGCGGCCCCCAGCCTGCCTCCCAGGAACAGCAAGCCCAGCTCCGAAGCAGTGTACGTGAGCATAGAAATCCACAAGTYTGTGTTGTCTCGGCATTCTCTGCCTGTTGCTTAGCTCATGCTGTAGAATCATAGACTCATAATGCTTGGAAAAGATCTGTAGATCATCAAGTCCAACCATAAACCCATCAACCCTGCCTGCTAAACCATGCCCATAAGTGCCTCTTCTAGATGTTTTTGAACACTGCCAGAGATGGTGACTCCACCACTTTCTTGGGCAGCCTGTTCAATACTTCAGCACTCTTTCCATGTAGAATTTTTTTCTTGTCCTACTGATAGTTATTTTGAAGAAGAGACCAACCTMTTCCTCACAACCTTTCARGTAGTTGTAGAGAATKATAAGGTCTCCCCTGAGCCTCTTYTCTAGACTAARTAACCCCAGCTCCATCAGCYGCTCCTTGTACATAAAGCCTGTGCTCCATCTCCTTCACCRGCTTCATGGGCCTTCTTTGGACACACTCCCACACCTCCACATCCTTCTTGTAGTGAGAGGCCCAAAACTGAACACAGTATTTGAAGTGCGGCCTCACCAGCACTGAGTACATTTCCCTAGTCCTGCTTGATACACTGTTCCTATAAAGGTGGTCCTATAAAAGCTAAAGGAATGAGCACAGAATCGCAGTATCACAGACATACAGGGGTTGGCAAGGCCTTCTGGAGAGGATGTGGTCCAGCTCCCTGCTCAAGCCGGGTCACCTGGAACAGATCTGAGGACGACATCCAGCCAGCTTTTCAATATCTCCAAGGACAGAGATACCACAACYTCTCTCAACAACTTGTGCAAGGTTCAATCGCCCTCACAGTAAAGAAGCCCTAGCGTGTTTGGAAGTCACTTTTGTGAGATTGGCCCCTCCATCTATTTCTTTGCTGTCAGGCAGACATTGCTGTCAGATCTATCAGCAGGCAGCTGTCAAGCAGGAAGTTTTGCAAGCCTAAGGAACAGCAGCATTGGTTGTGAAACCACCACGAGATGAATCGCGGCCTGCTGCCCTGGCATCTGAAGCCCCTGTTGCACATTTCTTTATCCGTCTACAAAAACAGGCAAACAAGAGGCCAACCCTCCAGCAAAGAGTTAAAAGCAGTGGGACTCTAGTAATAAAAAGCGACCGGGAGCAAGTTGTATATTAATAACGGGCAGCTCAGTGCCCTGCAGGTTGCTTGCAAATAGAGAAACTGTATAAGACATCAGAGAGTTTCCTGTGGCCACACATAGCGATGTTGTGACACAGTGGCTGTAAATACTCCACTGGGCTCTGCAGAACCCAGCTGATAAAGCAGGGGAGAGGAAGGAGGGAAACTGCAGTTCCTGCCCCATCTAGCGGCCAGAGCACGGCTGAAGGCCAGCAGCTCCCAGGGCCCTAGTCATCATGTTATTATTAGTGAAATTTTCTTTTTGTTTATGCSTCTCAGTTCAAGATAAGTTTTAAGTCTAATATCAGAGCTCGTTTGCCCAACCTAACCTTCTCGCCTTTCTTCTGTGTCCCTCGTTTAGACTTTATGCTGAGTCAGGGAGTGTTATCTGTAACATCGTGCAAAAGTCTGCTCTTCTGCTTGTGCACTGGATGCACCTGCAAAGATGGTTAAAAAGCCCAACCGATTCTTCCCACTCAGTCAGCCCAGCTGCCTGTTGTATTTGCTGTGCCACGCTCATCTCCATGGTATCAGAGCACCTTTGGCTCTTTTGTTTTCTTTTATGCTCAGGATCAAGGTTTTCCTATGTAAAAAATCAAGCTGCTGTCAGGAAGAACAATTGAGAGAATCTCCTGGGTTTTTAAGTAGCATATAGGATTCAACAGACTGCCCAGGCTTTGTCTAAAATAAAAATAAAAAAAATGTGGTAAATGGAAACGCAGCCATACAGGTATCTTCATAGGTTTCACATATGCCATTTTTTCTTATTTACAGAACTCCAGACAATGAAGAAAATTACGATGATGTTGCATTTGCTTCACAGAATAAGATGGGTATGTTTTAATTAACAACAGATATTTAAAGCTGTAAGCATACAGTATTTATAAGATAAGCAAAAGCATATTGTATTCGTAAGTGACTTGTGTAACTAATTATGCTGGTACTGCAGTCCAATGTGTGAAGAAAGTTGTCTCATAAAACTATCTGTTCTATAATTAATGTGACAGACTCTCAGGAAGTGCCTTAAATATCTTCTCTACCCCCATCCTTTTGGTTGGAAATACAGCAGGATGTGTTACATTACCAGATTTTCAAATCCAATCCAAAATGAATGCTGCTAATTTTGATTTAGGGTCGTGTGCTCTGGTGGAACAGGAATTGTTTTGTACTTGTTAAAAAAAGATAAAATAACTGGTTGATTGTGCTGTTCACACAAGTTAAACGCTTTGTGACCTGCCTTGAATAGGAGGCAGTGGGTTGCAGGGTTGTGCCAGGAGGAGCAGATCGTGACACAAAGAATTTCAGTCTGCCTTCTGCTCGCTCTTCGGGAGGATCCATCCGTGCCAGGCGCCGGATGCAGCATTTAATGCTCTGGCCACCCTCGCTCTACGGCTCTGTGGGCTGTGGAGCTGGGACCAAGGTCCCGCTACCTGCCGAGCAAGACGCAGCTTCACAGAGGCCTCCCCTGCAGCCCAGGGCAGAGCCTGCTGCAGTGCATGCGCCCTTGGACTCCTGACTCAGCTGTGGGGCTGGTACAAGCAAGTCCTTTGTGGTCTGTTAGGGTTTAGCAGCGTTTTAACAACTGTTTAAATAGACATGTTAATGCAGGAGTCTATATATACTTCCACTTAACATCACCTGTGCTATTAGCAATTTGTAAATAGTTAGCACTGGAATTATATAATTTTTTCTCTATAGCAAATATTAATACTCTGTTTTTTGCTTTTGGTCATATAGGTCATGGAAGTATAGAAGAGGTAAGTGTTGCCATCCATGATAAACTGAAGAACTTAGGATTTTGTAGCTTTATTTTTACAAAGCTACAAATTTAATAAAATCATTTCAGTGGTTTAGAAAACTTGTTGTAGAATTAACTGAGTATATTGCCAGTAAATCGCAGAAGCGCTGGTTGTGAAGGACAAAAATAAAACAGGGTATGCAGAGCAAACTGGAACTAATTATTAAAGCTGGCTAGACACCAAAAACGGATATAAAAAAAAACCCTTCTATTTCCACTGACATTTTATTTCACCAAAAATTTTTCAGAAACAAGAGCTCTATTTTATTCCAGTGATAAATCACTGGTTTTCAGTAAGTGCAGGTTTGACCTGGTGTCTTCAAGTACTTGTCTGGATTAGAGCGAAGACAGTCTTTGGGACCCTAGTCTGGGTTCCACTTAGGTCCCTTTTATTCCATTTTACCTCCTCCTACCTCGGTTACCTCGTCATGGCAGTGCAATCATCAGTGCAGATACAGTCTTTCCAGAACTAACACTGCAGCTAAACTGTCCACTTTGGATTTAACACTATGCCAATGTGAGGGCAGCAATATGGAAAGTGATAGTTGTAGTAAACCCAAAGTCAGAACTGACATATGCTGAGTTTAAATAATACTGTAACCTGGGTTTGGAAAAAATAAATGAATTTGTACTTACATTTTGCTMTAAACATTTCTGTGTAGTTCATATGAGGTTTACATAGCAGGTGAATGTTCATCATTTCATTCCAAATGTATTTAGGCCATTGAAAACTACATTTTTCTTCCAGGGCCAAGAAAGTGCTGAAGAGATGTATGAAGACATAAATAATGTCAGGTAGTAATTTTAAACTGTATAGCCTCCTGTGTCTTTTTCTCTCAAAGGCTTGCTGACAAGCCGGTTCGTTTGGCACAGAAGTGTGACTGAAGTCCCTGATAGGCATGAATTTCTTCCTTCATTTTACCTAGAGAAATTCAAGTTGTTCACAGGTTAAATGGAGTATGTCCTGGAGTGGAAAAAAGTCTTGTGATAAAATCATGTAATTGCTGTGATCTAGGTAACAGAAGTATCTGACTTCTAATCTTAGGAGCATGTGTGAATTGCGATTTGGAACTACAGACTGTGGGAGAAAATAAGATCAGTCCCTAGTTACATAGGACCTGGATAGATAATTAGGTGCGGCTGTTTTTCTTGTTTTCTAGATAAATATACTTAGAGCTGTTTTTGTAATGCTTATGATCAGAGTCCCCTGACATATCTACAGAGTCTGAATGTGAGCCCAGGTCAGTTTTCTGCCTCGAATCCCTCACTTTGAGTTTCTCAACCTGCTGTAGCCTAAATGTTCCATGTATGATAAGACACAAAGGAAAACTCTCGTTCCTTTGACACAAATAACAATCCAAAATTCCTGCTCCGTGAGCTCCTCTTTATGGTGTGAAATGACTTTCAACAGTAATTTGTTGTTGAATTGCTATGAACATGGATAATGGAGAAAGCAAACAACTGAAACAAGTACACCTCATTCAGTCTGTTTTTTGAACTTTGACATATTAGTTTAGCAAAAGGATGGAAAAAAAGGAAGAGGAGAGAGCCTTACTGAAACCAGTTCCATAGGGTTTGTAACACATAGTTCTTCCAGAGAAAACCTTGGCAGCAGCCTGCAAAACTCTCAGAGAACCCTCTGGCATCCTGTTATCTTGAGGACACCAGTTTAAATTATGTTTGTAGCATAAGAGAAGGTGCTCTTCCCTCTGTTGCAGACCAGCCACATTGGGGTATAGAATAAGTATCCTTGATATCACAGGGAGAAATCTTTTCCTATCACATATATTTTTTGTACCTTTGGTAATAAAGCTCTAGCGAGACTTGTGCTGCTGAACCCAACATTTAGTCCTGGCAATACATTTTTAGATCAACGTCAACAGAAAAAGAGAAGAAGAGAGAAAAGGAAGAAAAGAAAAGAATGGACCAAGAGAAGAAAGAACAAAAGGAAAAAGAAAAGAAAGAACAGGAAGTCAGGAAGAAGTTCAAAGTAAGTTCTTTGTTTTGTAATGCAGAAAAGGGTATGTGAGAAGCATTATTAGCGATGTCCAATTTGGAATGCAGACTTCAGGTGGWTCAGGAGCCTGGATAAATTCTAAGTAAAGGTTTAATTTAACTCTTTTTTTGTGTTTGGCGTATGCTTGATTTCAGAGTCTGTTTTGATTGCAAAGAGATTTCAGTGCTTTTTATTACATTTTCTGCTAAATGCTCATCAGTTCTTCCCGTAGGAAAAAAAAAAAGCTGTGAGAAGTGCCGCTTTGTTTTCTATTTTAGCCATTTTATGGCTCTAGAATAGCATCAAAAGTGGGGATTGGAACCCATATACTTAATGTTTTTTGTTTAACTAGAGCCAGATACAATGGGATACAGCCCTCAAGAGAACTCAACATTATAAGTGGCAAATCATTTTCTGTCATCCAATGTCTTCTCAAAATACTCTGCTTGGCTCCTAGCAGTCTCAGTGAGGGTAGTGGGTACTTTGTTTCACTCCCTGGCTCTCGTGCTCTATACAGAGTAAAGCCAAAGCAATTGTCCCATTTCATAGCCTTGGTCTGCTGTGGAGAGACTGATATCTAACATCAGTTGAGAAACAAGTAATAATAAAAAATTCTGGTAATAGGTGACAGTGGTGCCGTCTACGTGGTGTTTCTCAGGGTGTTGGCCTTAAGTCACTGAGACAGAGCCTTCTCCCACATCTGAAAAGACCAGTTCTGTGAAGTGCAGGCATTAGCACATTTATGATTTCAGACTGCAGGCTGCTCTCTTGTGGGCATTAAAAATATAATGTTATTCTTAAATGCAAGGTAATACATTTAACTGGACATTTTCTTTCCTATTGCCACTTACACGGGATAGATAAACCTAAACTAGTGTATATTTGTCCACAGCAATATTTACAAGGTCTCATATATCTTACAGCCATTAAATATATTAAAGCAAAAGGAGGTTTCTCTATGACATAGACTACAAATTTCACAGAGGACCATGAATTCTAGTAAACAGTATGATCTTCTTATGTGGGTGCTTGTTGGGATCATTTATAGAGCAGAAATGTAAACACTGAACATTATGTGGTAGACTTATTTATGTTTATGAATATTTATTCATATGAGTAGCCCCACTGAAACTATATTGAGCTGCCCACTGAAATAAATATATGACTGTTTTGTGAGGGAAAGTTTTACAGGTTAACCTGTTTGCTTTAATATTAATATTTCTGTGATTTTGTCAGTGCCAGGTACTTTATTGCTGCATTTTAGCCCTCTCTTTACATCCTTGCTTATAGTGTAGATTGTGTAGCTGGGAATAGTGAAGATACCCTTTTATTTACATAGAGTATTTTAAATGTCAATGAAACAAATAAGCATCATTACAATTATTCTATTTTTTGCCATAATGTTGTGAGAAAGAATTCTTTTTCCACATCTGTAATTTATTTTGTCACTCCTTCTATGCAGTTAATGGGACCCATTCAAGTCCTTCATCAGGCACGAGCTTGCACGGACTACAAGGGAGGAAAGAATGAGCTGACTGTCAGACAGGGGGATCAGATTGAAATCATTCGTCTCACAGACAACCCAGAAGGAAAGTGGCTGGGCAGRATAAAAGGATCTTGTAAGTCCTGCTTCTTTGCTGTGCTCCTGAATGTTTTCAGTGTGTGACAGCAAACATGTGAGCACATGCAGTATAATATAATGCATGCTGTAATGCATGGAGTAGCATTAATGAGGCTGAGTCATTAGCTACCCAAACAAATAATTACCACAACTTGCCCTACTGTGCTTACCCAGGCTTACCTGGAACTCAGTTCATGATAGGAAGTTATTTTTTATTGCAATGTAACATCTCTGGGCACAAAAATAAGTTAGGAACTTATATGTTCATATTAGTATTTATATTATTCATATTATTTTTATAATATTATTATAATATAGTATATAGTAATATAACATTATTATAATATATAATATTATTATAATATTATTATAATATAATATTATTATAATATTATTCATATTCTTTTTCATGTCTTTGTCTTAAAAATAAAATGGGTGTACTGCATATAACTGAAGAATATAAGATCTTTTTCTAAGAAGCTAATAACCTTAAGAACAGAAGGTTCTTGTTCTCAAGTCTATCCTGTTCTATCATAGTGGAAAGATTCTAACTCTCAACTGAGGCTTTTCTCCTGATTTCTAGTTTGTTTGGTTTTTTTTACCTTGAAAACCAGAATCTCATCAGTGAATTATTATGGTAGGGTACACTCTTAAAACAAGACCTTATATTCTCATGATCTGACTCCTGAGTTAGAGCACAGATATTAAGACTGATCCATGAAGTCAATGGAAATCATGAAATTCACCAAAAAGCATTAAAAACGCTTGATTTTTAACAACAGTAGAAAGATGGTTTGGAGTTTTGTAAGTCTTTTGCTTTGATCATTTTGTAAGTGGAAAACAAATCTCAGTGAAGGCTGGGGGAAGGGTATTTTCTTGAGCACATGCAGTTAATTAATTTACACTAGCTTTTCATAAACTGGTGTTTGCTTCAGCTGTACTAGGCATGGTGTTTTATCAGTGCTTAAACCTTAAGTGCTCACAGGCCAAAAGTGGAAAGGCTGAAAAGAAGATTAAACAAGAGGAAAGCAAGTTATGATCATTCAAAAAAAGTGAGAAAAAAAAAAGATACTTATCATTTGTCTCCAAGTGTCTATCAGTAATCAAATCTAGTTAATTATTTTTCACATGAAGCTTATGAGGGGGGAAGCACTCTAGGGCTTGTTCAGAAGTAGCAGAGTGGGAAATTTTCCATTCTCAAGGACTGTGTGAGCATTTTTCCCTTTAAGAAAATACATTCATGCCCCATTTTCATGCAGGCAGCATGTCTGCTGCAGAGAGTTACCAATTTCAGGCCAGCTGCTCTGCTCCAGTTTTCTCCCAAGCCAGTGTGCTCAGGATGGGAACTAGATCCCTTTAGTGAAGCCCATGAGGACAGCAAGGGAGCTCCACTGTGTCTACCAGCCCAAAGCACAAYCCTTGCAAGCAAAATGTTTCTTTCTTCTATTGACCTGTTGGGATCTTTATGTCAGAGACCATCCTAAATTATTCCAGTAGACTGGACTGGTCCTGAGATTAGCGCACAAAAAGGAGCCTGCACCAGCCCTGKAGTCTGCACAGTGAACTCTTCTGCTGTGCCTGAGATGCAAGTATAGGTGCTGTTAACTTTCGCTAGCTGAGGAGGGTTTGGGGGGATATCTGAGACAGATCTGGAATTTGTAGGTGTGTAGATGGTTGAAGGCTCCATTGGAGGCTGTTTGAAATAAAATATTTCTATTAAAGTGTTCAGAGATATGAAACAATCTAATCATACTGATACTGAAACTGCTGTTTCACTCATCAATCCACAACGAGCTTTAAAACTGGCTCTGCTTAATTACATGGTTTCATTCATTTAGATGGATACGTTAAAACAACTGTGGTGCAGATTGATTATGATTCTTTAAAAAGAAAGCAACAACCAGCCATCAGAGCTGCTGTGAAATGTGCAGACAGTGACCAAGAAGTGTATGATGATGTTGGAGAGCAGGACAGTATCAACAGGTACGTATAGAGAACACTTTCAAGGAAAATAATGATTGACCATAGTCAGCCTGAACGGGGAACTACTGACCACATTCTTGTCATGAAAGAAAAGCAGTCATTTATATAGGAAGCCCATAATCGTTTTGTTCATGCTGAAGAAGTCAAAGGAACAGGAATGGACTCCGGAATCCAGCATCTGAACACTCATACGTAGGAGGAATTGATAGCATTGGAAGTAAAGCTGTAGTATTGCAACCCAAAAGAAAAGGAAAAGCAAACCATACAAGATATTATGACTCACCCACAAGAGTGAGTTGTGACTCACAGRAGTGAACCCACAATTTTCTTCTCTCCATCTTTTTTCTTGTTCTCCGTTCCTTGAAGTCACATATTGTCTTTTCTAACATGCAAGAATATAAGACTGTAAAAGCAAAAGAAACTTAATTGCACAGAAAACTCCTTATCACCCTCACTGCTCTGAACCTGTGAATCTTTGGCCTATTCCCTCTGAGGAAAAGGAAGTTCTGGAAACATGACTAGCATGGCTCTCAGGGAAAGACCACGGCTAGTATGGTTAGTTCTAATAAAAGGCCAGTCAAAGCCCATGAGATGGATATGAGCTGTATTTTGACTGTATGAGAAACTCCTGCTGCATTTACAATGCAGTGCAAAGTTACAGCCCCTCTGCTTTAGTGTGCCATATTACTGAGGTCAAACTGATCTGCAACTGGGGAAATGCCGTCGCCCCAGGGTGCCAGGTTTGCTTACAGCTAAATGTCCTAGTGGTCTTCTGATAGGAGGCTATTCTACCGAAGGCCTTAATGTGATGCTGCTGTCTTTGTTAGCTGACGTCACATAAAAGTCAGCTTCTGTCACCTGGTTCAACGAACCAGTGTTCATTCTCCATTACGTGTCCTAATACAGAATCTCACGCCCGAGGATTCCAATAAGACACCTGCATGTGGGTGTGGAGGATTGCAAGGTACAGGACAAGCCTCTTGCAGGACTCATCCATTGCACCAGTGCATAGAGTATTTCCCAGTGCCGTTGCTTAGAGACCTGCTTGGAATAAAGGGATCACAACTGGTGGACTGCTGGGTGCAGCAGGTCCTCAGCTGCTAGGACATCCCCATAAGTACCAGGAACAACCCTTGGAAAGATTTGCCTTCAGGCTGGCATTCTTTAAACAACTAGTAGAGTTTTGGTGTGTGATATTCTTGGGGGTTGCACAAAATCAGTTTCCCTCACCACACATTCATCTCCTATCATCATAACCTAGCCAGAGGCTTAAACCAAGTTACATTAGTTGTTCCAGGCTGTAGATAATCTGAGCATCAGGTACTACATTGCAAAAGTATCTTGGGTCTATCTATGGCAAGCATTAAAATCAACCACCTTGATGCAAAGAATGTAGAAAATGATTTAAATTCAAGTGAACAAGAGTACTTACACTGTTGTGTATGAAAAGAACAATATAATGAACTTGGATGAATGAATGGATCAGATTCATTCAGGATTTTTTTGTCAGGAAAGCGTAACAAAAGCCTTGATTCAGAAGGTTTAAGATCTGTAAATAACTGCAGTTACTATGAATTTATCAGCTTCTTTATTTGTCATTAAAACATTGGGCTAATAAGAAACCCTTGAAATACTAGAAACGTGCAGCTGGAGCTCTAAAGCATTATCCAATAAAAGCTAGTTGAGCAATAAGTTCATTTGTTTTGTCTCATGAAAATCCTCTCCTTAAAGGGTGAATCTAAAAGAAAATGGCTTTTTGTTGGAAATTATAACAACATTTTAAGGATTTAGGAGTGAACATGCTGTTCTTGTGAAAACGTGCAGCTCTATTATCTAAAATGTATCTGCATTAATTTATGCAAATAGAGTATTTGCATAAGAGCTTWACTTACAAAATACTGCATCCCTCTCCTATTTTTTTTTTGCATTATAGGTAACTCTCTCTTACTGCTCTTTGAATTATTGTGGATGATGCTTCATAATCTTTTTTCTTCAATTTTGTGAAAAAAAAACAGATTATTTTCTTCCTGWTTACCTCAATCTATTAAAAATTAATGCCTCCTCATCTGACAGCTAATTCACTCATGAATTGGAAGACATGTTTTCTTCAGTATTACTGAGAATGAAACTACAATTTGTGTGTAGAAACCTGTGGGAGACAAAGAAAAAAAAGAAATGGCATGTCTAGTTATTGCTTATGTTAAACATGCAAGCATGTTCCTGAGCTTGCAGTGCTGAATTTGTAGTGCCCAGCTCGCAATGTAGGCAGAAGTTTTAGAGCTAATAACTACAAATTGATGGGTGATTATGTGTGATGTTTTGTTTTTCCAAATACTGGCTATTTTTCCCTAAAATCTCTCTCATTTTGCTTTTCAGTCAGACTGGTGGTCAAAGTGGAACTGAAAGTAAGTCCTGCAGATGCTTGAGTTGTGGGGGCAGGAATTATTTCTGTGCGTTGCTTGAGTTCAAATGCAGACCTCTACAGCATCCAAATAATGAAGTAATTTCCCATAAACATATCAAGTGTTAGCTAACAGGGAAGAAGAAAGGACCTAAAGGCCAAATGTGCTTTCTTTCCACCTATCAAAACTTAGGTGAAAAAAGAATTTTCATCTTGAGATACAGTGAATCAGAAGTGTGCCAGCAACTCCAGGTCTTTWTATTGTTGGGTTTTTGAGATGGTAAATTATCCTCCAAAACAGCATAGACATAACTGGAGAAATATTAATATGAGCAAGAATTTGTGTGCAAGAGAAAGTCAGTTCTGCACCAGCCAGCAATATTGGCAATCATACTCCACTGCCAGCAATATTTTGGTGTCCTGATCAATATGACTGCAGCAGCTGCACACTCTCAAAAACACACATTCAAAACAAGTTTCCCTTTTGGTGGTATATATTTTTATGGAGCATTCTCTGCTGATCATGAGAGCACAGCTCATCTTCTTAGCTTAGAGTTCAGCTGCTCGTCATGGGGGAGGCATCCCTGGCACTGCGAAGGAGGCTGCTGCCAGCCCAGCCAAGGTTTCAGTGGCCAGGGGCTTCATTTGGGCAGCGACGGGGAGGGAACCCTGCGCTGGAGGAGGTGCTGCCCACAGGTCCAAACCGAGCCCAGAAGGGGAGCTTGCGTTGCTGGTGCTTCTCTGGGTGAACACAAGRTGTCACTTGCTGAGAATGTTGCTCTGGCATCTTCCGTCACAGCTAGAGTAACACGGAGAAGTTTAAAAGCTGCCAGTCATCCAGTAATTTGTTGTTAAAAACCTACCTAGCATTTCAAATACAATATATTTTTTCATTATTCATGTTTTCACTTTGGCAGTGTCATGTATAAATGCTGTGGAGAAGGTGTCCTACTGTTAAGTGTGCATGGCTCTTTAATTATCTATGCGTGTTTACAGAAATGATCCTTTTGCAAGGTTATTGCAGAAGCCTTTATCAGACACACTTACAAGGGCAGTAACTAATGCTGTCTTCTAACAGCATTAAATTTAATTGTATTAACTCAGTGTTTGATCTCTTGAAGTGATGTTCCCGCCTCCTCCTCCTGATCAAGAAATTTATGATGGGATTGATGATGAAGATGTTAGTATTCGGTAAGATTTTGTATCATTTAAATCATTTACTTCTTTCCCAGAGTATCATTGTTTCGGCTTTTGGTATTTTAAAATTTGGAATAATAATAAAGTATTGGGATGATCAGCAAATGGGTATGTCAGAATGGACGTGTGAAGCTTAAAACAAAAACAAACAAACAAACAAACCAAATAAAAAACTTCCTTGGTCTTTAGGAGAAGTTTGTTTTGTAATTAATTTAGATATGTCAGCAAAAGTAGCTGCAGTCATGAAAATCCCCAAATCCCTGACTAATCAGCACTGACATGAAAATAATAAAATAAGAAGCTGCCTTGGTTGGTCGAAACAGGAGAGAGGCAGATTGCTGATGAGTATCTATACCTGTAAATATATCTCAGTGTCTCTAAATGATCTCAAATATATACTTCTAGCTTAGTGGTTTAAGCAGTAACTGTGCTCACCTAGTGATATGCTGTGTTGCCATTGTTAAGAATTATGTACCTCGGTGGAGAATTGAAACTGGACCTCTTGAAAAGGATGTTACCTTTTACATTGTGATAATTGCATGCATACTCCAAAGGTCTGTATCACAGGATGAAGATAAGACTGATATCTGGTCCTGGGGAATTTTGAAGAGGCTAAAAGTCAAAGATAACAAAAAGAAAAGTGTACGAGACAAAACAACCAAAGTCAATGGGGAAGAAGATAAAGGAGATTTGTTGTAAGAGTCTTCTAGGAAATCACAGTGCACTATAACTAATTCTAATAAGGCATTGATCACATGCTACTAACATGTTCTCACAGCAGCCTAATAAATCATGCATCTGATTGCATCTCAGAGTGATACTTCACTGCAAAAATACTGATCTCCTTTCTTTTCATCTTCATACTATGATTTTTTTTGTTGCATGAGGCCAATAACTAAAATATAAGGATTTTTGTGTGTGTGAATAGCACTGAAACGATCCGTCATCTTTATGCCAGCCTTTTTTTTAAGTTTGCTGTATCCGCTATTAAAATGTGTTTTGCTCACTAGTACAGTGTAGATGGGATAAAGTGGTAAATTTGGTCCCAATAATCCAAATTATAGGAATAATGTGTCAAAGAAAAAAATGCATAGATTTATCTCTGCTCATCTTACCTAGATGTTAACTCAGCAACTGATGTTTTTACTACCATCTTTTCTCATTCAATTCTAAACTACTTTACTCTGATTCAGTGGTAAAAATATGTTTAATTCATGAGTATTTTTAATATTAGCAGAACTTTACAATGTCTAGAGATCACATGACCGTTGTGTTGCAAGTTTTTTAAAATGATTTAGATCATGTGAAAGCCTATTAATATGACATAAATACTTAATGACCATCTTTTCTTTTCAGCATGACTTCTCCAACAAAGCAGGATGGAAAAGGTAATAATTAGATTGGTTTTTTTTTTTCTCCACATACATTTCCTGGTTCTTTTTTTTTCTGTATGTATTACTATATATCATGCTAATCACAAAAAAAACTACATCCAAGGAACAAAACATGATTTCCCATTACATATCCATCTCCAGCAGAAAAAATCCCAGTATTGGAGCTGATTTAGCTACAAACAGAGACATACAAACAGATACAGTGCAAGTTCTCTAGAAGGCAGCCCAAAGTATTTTTAAAGAAGTCACARTTTTTCTGTTTGGGAGACTTCCACATGTTCATTTTGAGGACATTCATTATGAACAGATGCACTTGGAAAGAAACAATTCAGACTTTAGAAAGAAACAGATGCTCATTGTTATTTTTAACACTTGCAGTCTCTTTCTAAGATAGCAAATGTTTATAAATATCAGTCCAGCCATGGRGTAAAAAGCAAGTTCTTAGAATTCTCGAGGCCATTGCCTGAACTGAGTTCTTAATATTTTATCTCCTACTGTGACTYTTTTAGCCACGGATTTGATGAGTTCAGCAACTGTTTTCCTTCTTCAAACATGCTGGATATGATTCAAAGTATATTCTTGGGGTAAGAATACTTTTCATTGCTTTGGCATTCCCTTATGGCCTAAAAGCTAACATATGTGATTCATATCCACTTCTAGGCATCTTTACATTGACAAAAGTGCTGTAGAAGTGCATGAAACCCTGAAAATATACTTTGATAGAACACAGTGGGAAATAGCCTAATTAAAATAAAGATTAAAAGGCTATTGCATTAGCCAACATGTGCTAAAACTTGCTTCAGTYTAAGAAGATTAAAATATCAGTGAATACCTGTTATTATTAACAGAGTCTTATTCTGAAAAGGGTGGTGTATGTTTTGCACAGCACACTGCGAAAGGGAAAGCTGAGATACTATACATGATTAATGGCTGCAATACTGGCCGCAATTTCTTGTCAACTTGGCTATACTGTGGTAGATTGTAACACACTGTATTCCTTGCTCAAGGTTCACAGAATAAATTTCCATTGTTTTGAACACTGTTCTTTCAGACTGTGGAGACAGTGATGTTTATGATGACGTAGATTCCTCAGACTTCCCTCCTCCACCAGCTGAACTCAGGCAAGTGAACACTGGAATTATTCCTCTCATTAGCAATCTTTAATACACTATGACACATTTCCCAAGTATTTACTAGAGGCAGGTTGCTACTAATGCCTGCTTTCTTTGGTATTGTCACGTTTTGTCATTCTCAAAGCCCTGCTTTTGACAATTGTAGATAAACGTTCTTTCCTTCTCTTTCTTCATTGCTTCTGTTTCAAATTGAAACAATTTGAGTACTAGTAGAATAAATAGACATGCTTTGAATTTCAACAAATTCAAACTCGTATGGATAAGGGGCATAACTGAATGCATGAGTTAAAGATCTTCCATTGAAAATGCTCTATATGCAGTCCTCTTCCTGTAAACATTTGAGGACTGCTAGGATAAGCACTGTATTTGCTCTCAGTTGCTCTTGTGAGAAAAAAGGTAGCGCCTTATGTTACCAGAATGAAACACATCTGAAGTGCAAAGTTAAATTCCAAAATTTTTTTTCCCTGGACCGGGAAGTTAGGGCCACCTTAGCAGCACTGATGAATTATGAGCACAGGTGAGTGTCTGAGGGCAATTTGTTGCTTTCTGTCATCACTGACTTTGCTCAGGGGAAGCTGTAAAGAGTGCACAGCAATAACCTAGTCTGAAGGCATCCAAATGGAGWGAGCTTTTTAACTGTGTAGATCCAATGGAAAGGATACAGCCCGCCTTGGTGTAGGCACAATCACACCCATTCTTCATAAGGGAAACTGTCATCTGCAATTCTAGGCAAATCAGGAAACTAGGGAGTCGGACCTTAAATTCCCTGGTACAGACTGAGGAAGGGCAGTTAAGGAATTGAAACCTTGCCATGTCCATTGGCACAGATCAGCATGGATGGAGAAAAAAACAGCAGAGCTCCAAATGGATCTTTAGCTTTATGCATGCAAAGCACTCCCTGGAGCAGAAAGGTCTTACATATACAYATAGGTATTATGGCAGCTATTATATAAACATATATAAAAGATACAACAATTCAGGTGCCTCCACGATGGGACATCTTATATTCTGCCATTGCCCAAAGATATGTAGACTTCCAAAAAAATGGTCCTGTGCCTAGAGATTCTAAAATGATGTGTATTATTTGTAAAATTTTGGTAGTTGTAAAGTTTCCGTTGCTGTATTACCTAGATGCTTTGRAAAGATATATGTATTCAGTTATGTAGCAGATATATTAATATCAGAACTGATGAAAAGATGAAAGTTTGAAAAAAAAACCCTACCACCTTCCAAAATCAAGTCTCTATTGTATTATAATTATCTATATTAATTTTATAYGGAGGAAAGAAGATACGCAGGAAAGTAAATGCAGTTTCACTGAAATTATCAGAAAGTTTGTCAGTATCTCTCATATGTTGCTAATTTTGTTTTATCTGTAACCTTGTGTTTTAGTGCATCAAAATCACTGAGCCTTGGAAAAGGTAAACAAGATGAAAAGGATGCACGAAAGCTGAAGAAGATGGAAAGAGAAGAAAAAGAGTTTAGAAAAAAGTTCAAAGTAAGTTTTGTTCACACACAATATAAAGACCTGTATGCCTCTAATTTATTTCCTTTGATTTGCAAATAAACCATTATTAACCTCTGAAAACTTGTGAAAGGCAATTAGTATTTATGGACTGAATATTGAAATTTAATGGTAGAGTATATACTGAACTCACTTTTCTAAGCRGGTTTTAAATTAACATTCTTATTTTTTTCTTTTAAAAATAAATTGTTAAATTTATTTTACATTAAATCTTTTAAAAATAAATTTAAATATAAAATAAATAAATATTTAAAAATAAATTTTAAAAATAAATTGTTAAATATAGCTCTTGCAAACATTTTTCAAAAGAATATCGTTGATTTTCCCTGACATTATGATAGCAACAAAAAAAACCTCTCAGCTTSTAGTATAAAAAACTGCTTTGTTTAAATTGACAAATTTGATTGAAAATTAAATAGAATGACATCAAAAAGCAGTTTAAAACTGTGTAGAACTAACTCAGAAAACATCTACAATAATTCTAGGCATTTATGGCTTAAGGAAAAGACAATAATTATTTGGTTCTCCAAATGCTTCCCATTCTGCTATAGCAGGAAAATATTCCTGATATTACACATGCTCAGCACACAGAACTTCAAGCTCACATCATACATAAAATGTCAGAGCTTAAATTAAAACTCAGCAGGATTTATAAATTGTGGTCAGATAAGAAACTGGCTTCATCTAGAATTTGGGTTTCATCCATATGTCAACAATCTGATAAATAACCTGGAAGTTCCTTAAATGTATAAAACCTACAATTTATATCCTTGTAAAGAGTTTAGATCTTCAAATCTCTGACAGCCAACATAACCAACAAGCCTCAAAATGAACATTTTTAACTGGTAATAGGCACAGACACTAGAGAGCATAAACAAWTATTCACCTAACTTTTGGAAAGTTAGCAATAAGGAGACTATATTGTTATAAAACAATGAATCAAGATCATAGATTTTGCATTAATATTTTTATCCAACTTACTTTATTTTTGCAGTTTGAAGGTGAAATTAGAGTTCTTTACTCCACTACTACAATCCAGGATTTACCTCAGAGAAAATGGGGATCTAAGGATTTACAAGTTAAACCAGGAGAGACTCTTGAAATTATAGAAAATACAGATGATACCAAGGTCCTGTGCAGGAATGAAGAAGGAAAATGTAAGTTTTATTAAAAGCGTGTAGAACATTCTGGGTGTGCTGTGAATTAGGCTGCTAGAGATGATTGTTCAGCACCTCACTTGAATCAGAAAAAAATCCTCTTCCCTGTCAGGTTCAAAATATTACATCTTTTTCCTTGTCTGGTGGTTTATAATAGGTAAATTGTGGTTACTTTATTATTATTAATGCTTACAGTAGCTCCTACAGCGGTGTTAGAGAGCCTCACCTTAAAAAGTTTACAACTCGCATAGACAAGGAAGAACAAAYGTCAGAGGAAGGAGAAGTTATTTATGTAATTCTTGCTTTGCATTAACTAAGATTAACAGCTTTTTTGAGTGCTTTTGCCTCTCACCAGTTGCCACTCAGAATGTAGCTGTGATACCCTAGAGTCTAGGAAAGCAGTTGCTGCACCTCTTAGAAGCACTTGCCCATTGATTCCAGCCAAGGGAAAATCAATGGCCGTATTCTTATTAGCTCTTAGTTCGTGTTGCCAGAGCTGGAGTTTAATCTTTTCAACAGGCTGGAGAGGAGAAGGAGTCCTCCCCAGCCCCAGCAGCTCCAAGACACATATCCTCCAAGCAGCTCCAAGACTGGTGTGCCTGCCTGCTTGGGAGCTGTCAAGGCAGCAGCTGCAGCTCCACGTCCTTCCAGGGCTTCTTTGGAAGCCGTGGCCAGGCTGTGCATTGGCAGAAGCTGCTGCATTCTTTGGAGAAGTCTGGACCATCTACTGTTGGTTTTGATTTCTTAATATGCTTCTGCTACAATACGTTTTAAATCTCCCAATAAGAATTCAGAGTATGTTCAAAGTAACAGCTTTCTGTGCAAACAACTCACCTGTGTTGTTCTCCGCTGCCCTAACTAGAAGGCGGTGTGATGCCCTATGCCTTTGAAGTGGATTTAGTAGCCTTTCTATTGTTGTTTTCCCTGAGGTTCTCATCTGTTGTAACTGGAATATAGCCGCCTTCTTGGCAAGCCAGCAGGATGCAGGAGATTTTCTTGCATAACCACACATTGATTTTTCAAAATATGGATTGACCTAGCGTAGCCTCTTCCCCGAGAGCAGCTTTCAATACCGCACTTTCTGGATTAAGCTACCAACAACAAAGTAGAAAGTAGTTCAAGTTGTTTGTTTTTCTCACAGTAGTCTTCAAAGCCTTTCAAACAGTGACAGAACCTACTGCTTCGCTATGCATAAAAGAGCAAAACAAATAAAAATACCCTCCCTGAAAAAGTTAGAATAGATCTCTGTCAAGTTTCACATTAATTAGGAAGGCTCTGAAACTGTCAGCTTCAGATACTTGCTGTATTTGGAGCAGGCTCATATCTAAAAAGTATAATTTAACTTTTTAAAGGCCAGGCAGACTGAAAACCAACAGTTAAAAATATTCTTGATTCTCTCTTGCATATGAATTCTTCCATTCATCCTTTAACTTCCATAGTTTCTATGCACCACTGGCAGTGAAACAAAATTAGGAATTACATTATAATATCCTCCCACCTTGTTGAGCAAGGGCTGATGAGCTTAGGAACATATTCTGCTATGAGTTATAGTTACCAAATGATTTGAAATTCCAAGGAACTGATTCTTGTTTATTCTCAAGTCCCTTGTTACTTCTGCCGTGGTCAAACCCTTGTGTCTTTTGAGATAAAGAAAAAATGTTCACTTCACTTTCACGACCGCTGCTTAAGCGTTAGGATAAGGATGAATGTCAGTGCTGGAAGATGTAAGCTGTGTCTCCTCCAAGRCTCCTTTGCTCCAGTGAAAGCTTTTGGCATCATGCCTTTAGTTATGCCAGGGAACCAGGACTGAATTTTTCTGTCCTGCACCCGTATTCCCCTATTATGTAGGCACAGAAATACAACGGAACTAGATTAACCTGGGACACGTAATCTTGGAGCTTTGTTCCTGATTAGGAAGCAGTCTGGAAGTGTGTGGAGTGGGCAGATGCTGCCTGAAACGTGCCTCAGGGTTGGAGAAATCTGGTCCTGAGGCTGCTGCCTCCAGGCTAACCCTGGCAGTATTAGGAGGCTTGTTGTTTGCTATGTGTGCTTGGTTTGCAYGATGTTTGTATACCACGTCTGCAGGAGAAAAAACTTTACTTTCGTGTAGATTTACATGAGAAAATGAAAAATAAAATCAGAGGAGATTGGCTGAGTGATTTTAAATGACTCCCAATGAGCCTTTAAGAGTCCTGTAAATTGTTGGACTCTGCTTGAAGAGATTTTTTTTTTAAATTATGTCTTTAAACAAAATTCCATATCTGTGCTTTTATCCCAGTTAAAGTATGAGGAAAGAGAACTAGAAAAAAAGCAYGCTGAATAGAGAAGAGCCTATGTGTAGTGGCTTGCATTTAGCTTGAGAACCCACACAGATGACAGGAAGAACTTGCAGTTTAACCATCTKGCTAGGCAAAAACTGTAATAGCTTTTGTAAGTATCAAATCTTCATGAATACAGGCAAATTAAGCATCTATTTTATCTAATACAGATGYAATCAAATATTAAATACATAGAAATATTTTCCCATTTTCTCAGCAACAAGATTATTTATCTTTTTTTTTCCAAAGGATGCCTTAGCTTTCTTACAAAGAGAATACTTTTAGGACTAATTTAAAATATTATTGAGCTTATAGAGACTTTACCTAACATATTGGTTTAGATGGAGGATTAAATAGATTATTTTTCATTATGATTGCATTCATTGGACTGGTAAGTCATAAACAGAGTTAAATCAGATTAGTGTCAAATAAAATATTATTACATTAAATTAATGCCTTTTAGACAACATTCAGCTGTAATACAAGCTGAAATTCCTTTAAAATGCATTGATATTAATGTATTAATTACACTGAAGAAATACCTTAGTTCTGTGTTATCTAAGATGGGCAATCAGTATCACACATTATTCRTATATACACAATTATATATACACACTATTCATATATATCACAGTATTTGTATTTGAGATTTATAGCAATATGTGATATCAACCTGTATTTTAAGATAAAAATACACCGACTTAAAATGATGTTTCTTTAGACAGAAAAGTTCTATATAAGAGATRGTTATTTATTACTATTTACAGAATAATTGTAGATATTATTCTTGTCAGATAACTTTTACCATAGTCCATATAGAAATCCATGATGTAAAATCATCTTCCAGATAAACACTGTAATATGGTTTTGAACATAGTGCAAGGTCACTGTGTTTGATAGTAATTTGTGAAGGAAAGTRATCAGGTTACAAATCTTAAAAAAGGGTGATTTCAATTAGAATAAAATCAGCAATGGATTGTAAAAATGCTTGAAAAACATTATACAAAATATAAAAAGCTTTAGATAGAGATTATTGTGGGGTTTTTTGTTATGTTTTGTTTTGCTTTAGAGGATACTTTTGTATTTTGTCTGTCAGAAAACTTCAAAGAAATAAGTAAGGAATTCCTCTGTGTTAAATAATAAGATCTCGAGGTTGATAGAAATGCTCTTGAAATATCACCACCAGAAATGCTGGCAGAGAAAATTTTGTTTTTCTTTTCTGTACTATGTGATCGCTCCTCTAAATACATGAAGCAATCACAACTCCATGCAAAAAATGCAAAGAAACTTTACAAATAAAGCCAATTAATTGATTCTATGACCTGTGAATATGGTCCAGTACACAAATCATTGAAAAAGCAGCTTTTAGTGTGACTCTGGCTCAACAAAGAAGGATTGTAATTTTATTTTTATAATAATTTATAAATATATAGTTTACATATAAATATATATTTTTATATTTTATATGTTTTTAGTTTAGATTATAAATATATTAAGTTTATAATAATTTCAAATCTAATGAAAAATGACATATCCCTTTTAAAACTATACTATTTTGTTTCCACAAACATACTAAGGTTTACCTACAAATATGTAATTATTGTTATGGGTTTTGCTTTGGCTGTGTATATTCTGCCAACTGACAGGCAAGTGCATCGGTAAAGGTCTTTGACCAAGGAAAGCAAGTAATTTTTCAAGGGATTAAGTGAGTTGCAGGAGAGTATATGTAGCTGAAAGTCTGACTTTATCAGTAATGCAACAGGATGATAGATTAATTACGTAGTGAGCACATATCTTTCGATATTCTTACATAATTTTTAAAATCAAGTCAATACAATTAATTTTTTAATACAATTTAATACAATTTTTAATACAATTAATTTTTTTAAACAATTATGTTTAATAGTAATTAACTGCTATATACATCTTGAAAGACATTTTTATCCCATTCGGAAGCTACACATATTTCTTCAAATTCTGTATTCTAGCAATGTTTTCCATTTATGTTATTATTCATCTATACATTTCCTATCTGAAATGTGTATTGCACTACACCGAGAAAATATATATTTCACTAGCTGTAGCAACAGAAGAAATATCATGAATATTTAAATTTAATTACACGTATATTCCAATTTTACAGATGGCTATGTTCTGAGAAGCAATTTAGTTGAGAAGTAAGTACCAAATGATCATTTTGAAAAGCTTGCTTTAATACTCCATGTTATTCTAAGGCATTTRTTAAGTAAAAGTGGAATTTAGTTATTTGTGTGTGTGGCACTGGTCCTGTAAATGCAAAAAAATTGGGGGGAATTTAGCCTGCTCAAGAACTGTTCACATACATGCATGCTGAAAATAATCCAGGGCTCCATTCCTCATTGCTAACCTATAAACTCTGGTTTGAGACATGAAAAATAACTTAAACTGAATATTTTGGGGACTGCAATCTATTAGTAAACTGCACATTAATGTAACTGAGTGCATTCAAGCCAAATTCAAACGTTTAACTAAAAATAAACCATTTTTYCTCTAGATTTATTTTTACTTCAGTCTTATGGGAATGCAAAGATTTGGTGTTGCTCAATGTAATTGTGTGGAGTTGAACATTTAGGATCCAATCCAAAAGCCTTGCCAGACAAAGCCTTTCCATTGCCTTCAGTGGGCTTTGTGTTAGGCTTTTAAATATTAAATCASATGACTGTTTTAGAATTCAGGCCTGCAAACATTTATGTAAGTGCTAAACATATGTAAATGGCCTTAGTGGCTTCCATAACACATTTTGAAAAATCCTGCTACTCGTGGTGCCTATATCATATATAGGCATTACCTAAATACATTATCTAGGAAGCTGTTCCTCCAAAACCATAGTATAAGAAAAAATAAGCATTGCAAGGACATAGTGATTTCCTTCACTTTTCTCATTTTTATTTAAAAAATGAGTAAGAAATTCGTTTTTAATGGAAATATGTCTGGGATTTTGTTAAAACAAGCACTGGAAAAAAAAAGTTTTTTAATTCTATTAACAAAGAAAGCCTATAGTTTAAAAAGAAATGTATCCAGCTCTACCCTTCGCTGAAAATTCTTTGACCTAACCATCTTAGTCATCTGAATTATAATATAGCTAAAATGTAGCTCAAAACATAGCTGAAACCTGTGGATGAAGCTGACATTTTCCTAATTAGCGAATGAATTATTTCACACCAATCTAAACCATGCTAGCCATTTTATGCTTTTCTGCAAATAGAAATTAATTTATTAAATTTAAAATAATTTTTAAATACATTATTTTCCCTTCTTTTTTACAGCGATGGAGAGATTTATGATGATATCGGTGATGGTATGTTAGACATTTCAAACACTTTTAAATTCACTTACAACAAATAACTTCATCCCTGTATCCAACAATCCCTGTTTCTGTTTCAGGCTGCATCTATGACAATGACTAAGCTGACTCCCGTGGGTTTGAGAGTTTCATTGAGGATCAAGATTTATTTTGAACTTCCTCGTCGTCAAAGCAAAGGCAATCACCAAAGTTCACTGGCTGCAGGTTAATAGGCTACAACCCTGTCTGTGTGAGCAAAGTTTGGTTAGCTGCTTTTTGTAACTTCAGAGTTTTGCCATCGGTTGCTTTATATGACATTTTTATTGCTATCAGAGCACTTAAAATCCAGGGAATAAGAGCTAAAGCTAAAGTTACCATCTTTCCCTACCATATTTGCCACCRTCCCGGTAAAAACAGTCCCTCAACTGGCTATTCCCAGGGAGGCCAGTGCAGGTCTGTGACGGATGCAGAGGGCAAAAAGCCTCCGTAGCAGCTTTTTCTCCAGCTCTTTTCTCCTAAGCACCAGAGACTGCCACCCTGGGCAGGAGAGCATCCTGAGGAGAAGCGCCCGTCTTTGGTGGCAGCATCCTGCTGGGAAAAGGGGAGATAAAAAGGGAGTATTGGAGAAGAGAGTTCCTTGCTAACCTGCCATCCCCGTTGTAATAGTGTTGGCTACACTGACATGTACAGCCACGTACCCTCTCAGCCAAAGTTTTATGTTGCACGAGTGATAGAATAAAGGTTTTCTAAAATTCACTTTATTATTTTGTAAGTACTTTTTGACTAATATTCATAGTTCCGTGGTAAGTATAAGTTATATCTGTTACATACGGCACTCTGAGATATCAAACATGGAAGATTCTAATTTATAATATATTAACAGAATATTTTTGAAATGTTTAGATGAGCTTTTATTTTTTGCTTGTTTTAAATATCATTGTTACTAAGTGGGCATTAAAATGGAGCAAAAAGTCATGATAAACTGGTGGGAAATAACTTCCAGAATAAATAAATATGTATGTGTACATTTATCAMATCATTTTGATGCTGTATTTTTAAGTATTACTGTTTTACACTGGATGTAGCTAAATGAAAGTATGTAAGTTAAACATTTTCATGCTTATACATTTCTACATTTCTTAACACACACAAAATCATTAGCAATGCTGTTATTTGGCAGAAAATAAAATAAAATAAAATAAAATAAAATAAAATAAAATAAAATAAAATAAAATAAAATAAAATAAAATAAAATAAAATAAAATAAAATTCCAATGAGCCATAATAGTAAATGTCACTATCAGAATCCACTGGAAATCAAAGGAAATTTACAGTGGGCTTCCAATAGAGAGTGAAGTCATATACAGAAAATGGAAGATTCATTTGTACTCTGTGATGCTCTAGGCTATAGTGCTAGTTCTGAGTAACCTGTCGCAGCCTGTGCAGCTGAATCAGTGCAGATAACTCCTCTTGATAATCAAGTCCGCTATAATCCCCAAGAGGTGAGATGCCCGTGCAAACCAGAGCAATGTAGCAAGCTAGCAGGTTTAGATTAAATACATAAAGTCAGAAAATTTGGTTCTGCTGAAGTTTTGCTGGGAGTTTTGCTATTTTCTTGAGTGTGCTGAGATTCCATCTTACACAAGTGGTTTTTTATTGATGGTTCCAAGTGCAGTAAATCTCTAGGGAAGTATGAGTACGCTATGAGGATATCAAACATAAAATTGACTGTAGAGATAACAGCTGGTAAGCTATTTTATACTATATGTAAAATCAGTGATACTGTGCACTAAATCTCGTGTTGAAATGGTAGGTAAACTTGAGTTTCCAGTTCTATATTTGTTATTCAAACCAGCATCCAAACACACAAATAGCAATATTGTATGTGTAAATATCGACACCAGCACCCAAATTTAAAACATGACCTTGTACATTAAGTACAATGAATGTGGCTGACTCTTCAGCTGCTGCTGTTTTGTTTATTTTTCAGGGAGATTCAAGAGGCTACATGCATAAAATTAGTGCTGTAAAATTAGGCATTTAGAAATATAAGACCATTTGTCAGTTAATAATAGGATAAATATGTTCATAGTTTCCCCAGTAAAATATTTCCAGAAAGAGCTTATATTAAATTCCAAAATACATGCCCAGTCTTGTTTCACTCGTAGCTGATAATAGAACTTTGCACGTTGTAGTAGGACCAACATAGGAACCTTCCTGTTGTATAAACTTTATCTGATATTAAAGGACTTGAGCAGAACACAAACCTTCTTTTTTRTACCCCTGAACAGATATGAATGTTACTCTTTGTGGGATTTTTGATTATATTTTTGAATACTCTTTCCATTTTTCTCAACCTTGATGTGATGGATGTAGATCCTGTGCTTCCTTAGTAATATATTCATTCTGAATAATACTGACTCTATCTCATGATAAACTAAACGACCATACMAAACCATTAAAAGATACTTCATGATAAGAATCTGTGCACGCTGCAAAATACAGTGTGATTGGGATAAGGTGTTGAAATGGGTTRCAAGGTATTATAATTTCACACAGAAAAGAAAATTGCTGGTATCATATATATTTTTGACTGCTTTACCAATGAATGTAAGTAGGCTTTCTCACAAGAAATATTGGTACACCGCCTTCTGCCAAAGTAGAACAGCAGTACATGAAAAATAACTCGTGAGTATTATCCCTGTGCAGCAGGCAGAGTGAAAATTGACTCCATTACTGCTCGGATGGCAGTACAACTGCAGTGTGGCATTTTGTTATCAGTAATTGCTTCTTAGGATGTGAGCTGTAAGGAGAAAAAACTTCCGAACAGCTAAATATAAACTTAACATTTAAATTAAGATTATATCCTAGGCATTTCTCACATGTGAAGAAAGGAAAGGAAAGCTGCTCTTTCTCTGCTCCCCCACCCACATTTCCAAGCTCAGTCTCCRAACCTGGAGGTTTTGGCTGTGTCTGCTAAACCGTTCAGCAGTGTTAAAGCAGTGACTCAGAACTTAGACTTTGGTGTGAGCAGAGGTGGTTTGCATCTCTCTCCTGCCTCTCCAGTGTCCCAGCAAACCAGCTGAGCAAAACAAAAACTGGAAGGGTGAAAAGGGCTGTATTTTTTTTCCAGTTCAGTAGCTTTAGAGCTTTTTCTCTGCTCTAACCACAGGCTCTGGGCTGCAGGAATGCAGCTGATCTCCTGTGCATTCCTGCCTAAGAGGTTTATATTTTGGATCCACATAATTGCCGATCCCCTGGCTCCTCCTCCCACAGAGGTAACAAAACCCTCCTCTATGTGTGATCTGGTTGCATAACCCACCTCAACTGGGAAAATCAGTGCTTTAGCAAAGSGGAGGAAAGGTGGTGTCAGAGCCCAGATTCATGCTCACGGGGATTAGCCCTCAGCTCTACATTCGTTCCCCACAGGAAAATGGGTGTGCAGGCACGTGAGAGTGTGTGTGTGTTGAGTTAAATGAGGCAACTATAGAGAAAACTCATGGAAAAGTCCCCTTAAATACCATATATACCAGCCCCCAACCAGCCGAGATGGGAAGAGTCTCAAGTGCAGCATCACTACAAGTATTCAAGTGTTATAAAATACAAGAAACAAGTTTGTATTTGCACAGCCTCAATTCTGCCTGCTTGCATGGATGTGTCCTTAAAAATGTGCCCGGAGTCTATAATTACAGGACAGCTCACTATTTTTTCCCGCAGGATCCCTGTCTCGTTTCGGCCTGGGCTGGGTGAGAGTTAACAGAAAAGGCAGTTGTTCAGCCCTGTTCACTCGGCTCCTGGCTGCTCCTTGTCTGGTGTAAATCTTCCTTCCATGGCTTCTCATGGGTTTTACTACAGCATTTGTCACATTTCTCAGATCCCCACAAATGATGAGTTTATCCAGTGATAACTAGGTAACATGACTTGTGGTTAAAAAGTATGAGCAAGCAAAAGGTGTTTTTTAAATATGCTGTGTTTACAGGAATAAAAAGGTGTCTGATAGGGGATACTGATGAACATGTAATTTAAATAATAGCTTAAATGATATTCTGAAACTTAATAAAAGCTGGGGACATATTGTAGATTTGTGTGATCTACATTATTCCCTACATTTTTATCCTTTGCTTTCTCCAAAGTTCCATGTCGACAACAAATTTGTTCACATGTTTTTGAGTCAGGTCTGTGACTTCAGCCAAAATCGAATGTTTACGTGTATATGGTTTGCAAACATGCCAGGCTCAGACACCCAAGCGAATTCTGGAAAAACAAAACAAAACAAAAAAACCCCTTAACTTACTTATYAGAAGCTATTCATGTATTCATAGTAATGCTGGAGGAACAGCCCTCCACCTTGGCTACTTGGTTATCTAAGCAGCGAGGTATTAGTCCCGCTGGAGGGTCTCCCTAGGTGTTCCCTGGCGTCTGCCTGACACGGTAGGTGTCCGCTCCCTGTCACCCGGAGCTGCAGACTGACGCCTGCACATCCCGCAGACCTGTGCAGCTCCATAGCCCCAGGTGCCCTTCTTGGGCTGGGTGGAGCAAAACGAGGCTGATCTCACCAGACCTTCGCTCGCTTTGTTCAAGCCCAGCGAGCTGCCTGCCCAACACGCATGGGATTTTTTTTTGAATTATCTTATTTGTCTCCCTCTAAAGTGCTTTGACAGAGAGGATTAAACTTTTACTAAATGTATAGTGTTCCAGGCACAAGGCTTTTTATGTTTGGGGGCCTTGTTGGAAAGAGTTGGGGAAACTATGTTTATTTTCTTTCTTAACGCACAGCATGTAGAAACACCGCTTAAACTTAATATGTTCACTGTTAGGCAGAAAGGAAGCACGCAGAATGCCAMCACATATGTGAATGAAATGTAAATTATACAGATACCAAGGGGCTTTGAGAAATGCTCTCCTATTTGGCTTGTTTCAGTACCATTGCCAAATCCTGCTGCTCCAACATCATAAGACAGACAAAGAAAATCAACACCAGCTATTTTTTTTTCCTCCCCTTTAATTCTTTTTTTTTTTTTTTTTTTTGGCCCAATTCCCGATTTTCAAAATCCTAGCAGGAAAAGCTGCCTGCTCCTTCATTTATGTGTGTGTGCATTTCAGGCAGAAAATGTACACAAACCACAGACACCGACCCCAGGAACCCTGTCCCCTGCTCCTGGGGACAGCAGGGCCACAATGTGAGACCCCCTTCTCTTCCCCCTCACCTCAGCTTCTTTCCTGCTCTCTTGTCCTGGACAAAGCTGGCAAATACCATCCAGCTCCTACAGGTAAGCACAGTTTTAATTTCTATATAGATTCAAAGAGAGAGTGTTTTTCATGGTCAGTGCCTTCTCTCACTGCCTACGACATTATCTTATTCTCATCTCCTCACTTTCTCTATTACTTCCTGTTCTGTCAAATTACTCCTCTTTTCCCTGATTCTTTGACTGTGCATTTTGGTCKGCGCTTTTCTGCTTCCTTGTTCCTTTCTCTTTTAATCGTTTTATACCGGTCCCTACTTCTGCATTCCTGCCCTGGTACTTTCATTTTTTATCTCATTTTTAAAGACTGTTCTGCTTAGAAGCTCCCTCCCTTTTTTTTTGTTCAAAAACCCTAACTCTGTGGGTGACACCAATAGAGGCTTTATGACTCAACAACCACCAAAACTTACAATTCTTGTATTTTGAGTTCTATGGCATTTATCCTGTAGTGTTTAAAATGAGGCCAAACATACCTTCCTCCCGCCATCAGTACCTGGAAACCTTTCTTCAGTGATTAAGCTGAGGTATTATTATGGGAGCAAATCTYGTTATAGGCAACTTAAAAATAATAGCTATCTTCTTTATCTTGCCCTTTTTTTCCTGCTCCTTCCAGTTCTGACAGTTCATAGCAAGATACCTCCTGCGAACCAAGGGAATGTAG